CGAATTGCAGCTGTAAGAATTTCTTTCACGTGCACGTCAACGTGTAAAAGATACGTTGATGGTTCGTCCCGCCTGCATCATTAGGGGTATTTAAAAGTTGGAGGAAACCGCAGGACATGCAGATAATCCACGACGTTGCACAGGTGACCCTACTCCTTGTCACGCACAAGTTGAGAATAGAAACCAAGCCACTTGACCCTCACCCCCACAATGACTCCAACTAAACTACCATATTTAATTATTATATTTCAGTTGACATTATTTCTGTCTAAATTAACTGGTACATCAATAGGTTTTACAGCCATGGGATTTTTTACTATCACAAAAGAAGTTATATTAACGGTGAGTTTAGTGTTTTTGATAGTTTTTCAATAACACAAACAGGAAATAATAGTGCCATTCTCAATCATATTTGACAAAAATAAATAACGAACGTACTGTTTGAAAAAGGATCCAACCGAGCTTGACGTCACTGCATGCATATTTGAATTGTGGCGTCAAATCGCAGTCCGTCAATCGTCCAAGGAAAAAGAAATGAAATGAAAATGAAATGGGTTTTAACGTCCTACTGGGCTTATGAAGACGGGCATAAGCCATACAGTGTGCTATGAGGGAAATTTTGCCCGGGCAGCGGCACTATGGCCTACTTTTATAACGAATTCCAGCTGCCAAGGGATATTTGACGTGCACGCCAATATATGCACGGAACCTCGTTTTTTCGTCTCGTCCGAATGACTAGACATCTGTGCTTCAGGGCCTCCGTCCTGTATCACTGACAAGGGGAAACCACGTCTGCAAATTCCGATGAATGAGGTTTTGTGGCACGTCAGCTCCAACCAAATTCCGATGAACTTTCTCGGCCATGGAATAAGACCCGGTCGATCGTACTTGAATTAACAGGGCCTTGGAGATGACTCCCTGGTCCAATAAATTATTTTTTTTTTTTATTGATATCTGTTATTAAGTAATAATTGATGTTTAAAATTTGTTACAGATTGGGGGTTTATATCTGACATATTTCTTTCTGTTGCTGCAGTTTAAAATCAGTTAGATAGCTGATAAAGTAGCCAGAACTGGCCATCAAATTATTTGATACCGAAAGGCCGTCACCAATTCAGAACATAACGTGGACAAAGTTTGTGTGGTGTGAATTGAAACTTAAATTAAAGACTTGGTTGTGATGTTTGGCTACGAACTGTCTTGTTAAAACAAACTTAAATGTGTGTACGCTGTTTGGATTGAAGACAGGTTATTTACAAATACTGAAGTTGACTGTGAATTATGTATTAATGTTCCCAAATCAGGATTTAAAACTCATAATAATCACAAATATCTTGTTTTCTTATAAACGTTTCTGTGTTGACAAAGAACTATAAACGTGCCCGTGTTAACAAAGTTAAATGGTTATGTGCATACATCAACACCAACTAGGCTATATATATGTGTGTATTTCAAAATGTAAAATATTATCAAAGATCAGTATCTATTAAAAATATCAAAGATCAGTATATATTAAAAATATCACAAATCACTGTTAAATATCACAGTAAATTGAATTATCTATATCCATAAAATCAAAGATGTATGCGTGTTCGCCCATCACTCTTCGATGCCGCGATCCAACCCACATATTGTATTAAATTAGTTATAAATTATAAAAGATATAATTAAATTATAATAATTATGCTTATGGATTATAATATGATTAAAATATCTAATAAAAACATGTGATTCTTTTTTTTAAAAAATCCATCAATGTTTCATGAAATGGAATGGGGTTCAACGTCCTACTCCGACTCTGCAATTTTTCACATAAATCTAGCTGGACAAATACATTGTGCAATGACTGGCAACAGTAGTATTTTTTTACTAATATCCTTGAGATGTGTGCACGCAATCTGAAGACAAAATTATTTCGTATGTGCATAAACATATTATTGTCCTAGTTCCTTTCGGAACGATCACTGGTGGACGAAGTACTTTCTCTGACCGTTTCTGTCCAACCCTATAAAGCTGCAATATGAAAATAGCGCTCTACCTGAACACTGTTCTAAGGCTATTTTGGAGTCTTTACCTTCTGTTTTTCGCCGTATTTCTTCCCCAATAGGACTCTGACACAGATTTATACATTTTCATGTAAAATTTTATGTAAACCTTCAATTTACTGAAATAAGTGATTATAAAGCTGAAAGTGAATCTGAGGTACCGTAGTGAGTATTTTATTCCCTGTATTACAATGGCTTGTAGGCCTACAAGTTTTAGGGGGGTTGGATGGCCGAATGGTTAGCACGTGCGCGCTTTATCATAAGGCCTGTCATTGAGTCAACTGGCGTGGTTTGGAATCCCGAGTTGTACGTGGCAAGGAGTAGGGTTGCCTGTCCAATCTCGTTGGTTTTCTCCGGGTCCTCCGGTTTCCTCCCACTGCGCTATAGACCCCTACGCGCAAGCGAATTATGTAAATAAAATTAAACCATATGTTAGTCCCGAAATGACCTAGTTTGTGTCGAGTGGACGTTAAACCCCATTTCTCTCTCCCTATAAGTTTAAGTGGAGCATACTATACAGGGTTACACCCCTTTTCAATTAATGTTCAAATAAACATCCCCAGTCTCCCTTGTGCTAAAAATGGACTGGACTGTTTATGGCACCAGTTTACACATGCATGTGTTGTTACATGGTATATAAAGGCCAACCTTATGTGCATCCACTCCTCTTATTTTCTGACCATTTGCTATTGGCGTTGTGTTTGGATAGTCTTTGTTCAAGCTGTGTTGCTGAGGAATATATTATCAGCAGTGATTGGCGAAGTACTTATAATACTGGGCTGAGAGACACCCGATAACCCACTGTCGGTATATAGGCCATCGCAGGTTGGCACTGGGTTGAAATAAGTAGGTCATTGTTATTTCCTATATTATATTGAGACCATTTTTACTTCAATAGTTATATATGTTTATGTATGGTAAGCTTAGACTAATGGTTTATTTCAGATAAACCCTAAGGTTGAACCCTTTAAGTATGCGTACACCACACTTTAGATCAGACACAGATTTATCCTTAGAAGGAAGAAAATGCAAAGTTCCAGGAAAAGTATCTGTTTTGGGAATTTTGTTCTTCTGTTAAGCCAAAGGATAGAAAAGAAGAACTTCAGTAACAGGTAAACAAATGTCAGTCCAGTGGGATCAAGCGACACCAGATTATAATTGGTTTGCCTCCTCAATAATTGTAACAATCCAGAATGTCCTTTGAAGACGATAAGCACTTTAAACAATCTTCAATGACCAGTCGGTCAATTTTGCTGTCTCCAATCGATCAAATTTCTATTATTTGTATCTTTTCAGGTTGCTCGATTAGTGTACAGCAAACAGTGTCGACGTCATCGTCTGAGTTTTAAAGAAGAAAACCAAAAAGGTTAAGAACATAAACTCAAAAGAAGTACAAACTCTGATTGTTGGGCGAAATTCCTTGCCAGTTCCCAAATTTTTTATCCAGTCTATAAGATCAGGTTCGAGTGGAAAAAGCAGTTGACAACTCAGTAAAAACACAGACACTTATATCGTGTGCCTTCATGGTTTATTCAGATCAATGTAAGAAGATGCCAGAAACAAAGAGTTTTAGTGCAGGATATGAATTATTGTCCTATATAAGAACTATGTCTGACAAGGCCAATAGCCTTCAATACATTACTTCAGGATTATAAAGAAGATGTTTTACCCAAAATAATTGATAATTATGAAGATCTTTTAGAAGAGGATAAAAGCTTAAGGAGATGGCCGGTGTTTGCAGGAATCTTGAAAACATTTGAAATAAGTTATGGAGAGAGAGAGAGAGCGCGCACTAACATATGATTCAATTTTATTTCAATTATTCGCTTTCACGTAAGGGCTTTAGCAGTGTGAGGAAACCGAAAAAAACGTACGAAATTGGACAGGCGTCCCTATTTATTTTCAGTGCGCAAGCGTTAACAATTCAGCCATCGGTGTAATTTTACATTTATGATGGGTCAAGCCATTTATTATCACAGAGGTGATATGTTTTTATTTATTAGAGAAGGAGCATGAATATACAAATACCATATTAAAAGCTGTTCATTGGACTAATTTCCAAATTTACAACAACTCGCTTATGGAGGATAATTGAAGTATCTGTAAATATACTAGACAAACATGAGGCAAGCATCAATGTTGACCAGACCCGGAAATTCATGAGTGGTGACTTCGTACGTTTTTAGAGAATTGAAGAAAATGGCAAATAGTTTTCAATGTTTAACAACAGCAAATGAAGAAATGGACGAAATAATGTATGCATTATTGTGATCATTGCTTTTGGCGGCAATCAAGGAATTGTTTCTAATGTTGGCACTTGAACATTTGTAGGAGGTAAATTTTGAAACCCATACTAAAGATTATTTCAGTAAACAGTCCCTTCCTAAAAGCTGAACAAGCTCCCAGGATTTGTATTTGGACAATTGGACCACCTGATTTCATCTTTGCTGGCAAATGAAGCCTGTATCATGTTAAGCTTCAATAAGACATCAACCTGGCTTAGTGGATGATGAAAAGGATAAACGAAGAGCCACTAAGTCAGCCACGGAGTCTTTAATACCCAATAGTAGGTTGAGAATAATACAAATGTTTGGACACGAATTATTTAGAAATTACCGATTGTGTACGTGCTATCACAACGTCAGGTTCTATTATATCGTTAACAATGCTGTATTAGTTAGTAATATATTTATATTTAGATTAACATGGTTATCGGTCGTTTGCATTATACCGGAATAATTAAACAGGGATAATTAAACATGTCATAAAGTAATGTCTAATGTAATTATATCCCGCATTACTCAATACATTTCATTCTCGCCCTGATGGAAACAAAGTATAAGTTTTTATTACCAATCCATTAACTACTTTGTGAGAAGACTATGAAGTTGTTAAAACCAATCCATTTACTGCTTATTTATTCAAACAGATAGTGTTCGTCAAGTGAATGGAATATATCGATTTATACGGATATAAAATACGTTTGATTATAGTGGATCCGATTCAGTAAGAGGATCCTGGAAGAATCGACTTCTCATTTGAAAGTTCACGATAACTAACAAGAACACAGACAGCAACCGTGAGAAGGACACAGGCAGCAACCGAGGACAAGACGGAACGCGACATGCAAATGGAAGGCTATCGCGATAAGAAGGTGGAATGCAACAACCACGACCTACAATACTGTGTTCACGACATATTGAGACCTTTGTTAAAATGTATGCAACTTTTCGGTATCTACTATGATAGGTTGGGTAGCGGTTCAACTTCGCATAGGCTTTCTAAATTCAGCAAAGTATACAGTGTCGCTGTTATTGTGTTGGTTTGGATTAATGTATTGAGATATATTCCATCGTTTTGGGTTGGATTTGATTATCAGCCCAACCATACAGTAAACAGAGTCATCAAGCAAACGTGGCTTTTACAATGTGCTGTTACTACATCCATATTACTATGGCACTGTCGGAAAGGAACTTGGAATTCCTTCTACAACACGTGGTATGGAATCATAACAACAGGAAGTTGGTCAAATTATATCAACAAGAAAACCAAGAAAATGCGGAGAATATGTAAAATATTTCTCTTTCTAGGCATCATCTATTTTATTTTCAGTATCTTGTCTACGCTGCTCTCGGAAATTTTGTTCAACAGTTCTGTCATGCTTACTAATCCGTTTCCGGCAAATGTTGAAAGCGCTATAGCGATTGCGATATTTGAATTATTCGACGTTTCTGCTTGGATATTCCCGGCTATGTTCATGATAGCCATGTGTTACTGTCTTAAGCTGGCATTCTCCATGGTGAAATTGTGTTTAGAGAGCTCGGTACAGAAACTCCAGGGTTTTCCGGACAATTTAAATGACATTCGACATATTCATTTAAAACTGTGCCGAATGGTTGAACATCTCGATAAACCGATTAGCTTGTGGATAGTCAATGTGGTGGGATGTAACGTGTTTGTAGCCTGCTTCATCATGTATGATCTGGTAAGAAGTGGACAAAATGAACTCGTGGTCATTATCTTAAAATGCTCCTGGCTGACCAATAATATCCTGACAGTTTTTATAACTTGTTGGTTTATGGCTGCTGTCAATGAAGAGGTAAGAAACAATACATATATTATTACATTCCTTTGAGTCTGGTGGTCGTTTGGTCTGACACGTGCGCGTTAGATTATATGCTCGGTCATTGAGTCACGTGGCGTAGTTTCGGTTCCCCGCTTCATACGGTCGCCCTTTTAACCTCGTAGGTTTTCCCCCATTTTTGTTTTTTATTCTTTAATCTAATTATATTTGTTTCGTTGATGTTTAATATTTTTATACATGGACACCTGGAAATGTAAAAACATAACATAGGTATTTTATTTCAATAAACACAATCGCTCACGGAAAAGCGAAATTGGAATGTTGGCATTATCGCGATAAAACCGCCCCTGCCCTATCGTACCAATAATGTAATGGTCAATAAGTTCACGTCATCTGTTCACAGCCCTTAAATAAGATGTGTCCAATGTTTTCAATGGTCAATAAATAACATTTGTGCGATGATTATATTGATCGTGAGTCACGGTTGTTCAGTGACGTGACGGTCCCGTGTTCGAAGGACTTGTCAAGGAACAACGTAGGCCCCTATAGTCGTTCGGATGGGACAAAACACCGATGTCCTGTGTACAAATTGGCGTAGAAGTAAAAGAACCCTTGGTAGTTGAAATTCGAAATTAAAGAGTAGGCCGTAGCGCTGCTGTCCGGGCAAAATTTCCCTCTTTGCACACTGCATGAACTGCATGCCGGGGGTCGATCGTTTACCGTAGCCATGTTTGAAAATTGGGTTTCGACAAATAAGCTATTTATCCGGCGTACAAAATGACCAATACGGCCGACATGAAGCATATATTCATTGCTTTCCATGTAAATAATTTCAGGTTTGTCAAAATGATAATTCTGTTAAGGGGTTTGTTCCGAAAATGAAATAAAAAGTGTAATTTTCACGATCTGTATTCACTGAGTTACTAATAAGTTGTTTTTTTTATCTGTGTAGGCTCACTCGCCATTAGAATATATCTATGACATAAAGACAGATGGGCTGTCAACACAACAACTAGGGCAAGTAAGTGCATTATATTTGTAACAGATTGTAAGCGTAGAATTAATGGAGAAGTTTAAGGTCATAGGGGGATACGGAGTTAGGGGCCCTCCCTAAAATAGGTTGAAATTACATCACCGTAGATATGATTTAGAGATCGTTCCTGTTGTTACATATTCAAATTGCCTTCAAAAGGACAGCGATGGTATCACGCATGTGCCTTAGTACTGGACACGTGAGCGTTGACTTTGCCACCAGTCTTCTGGACTCAAGATGGCCCCTTCTATTTTTCAAGTTATAACAAATTCTAGCGAGTGCCGAAGAAAAACTGAATCACCTAATTCATTGGCTCTCTTTAATAATAAAAAAAACGGTATTTAATTATAATCCCGGAACTATATTTCAGTTGACGTTATTTTTGTCTAAATTAACTGGTACATCAATAGGTTTTACAGCCATGGGATTTTTTACTATCACAAAAGAAGTTATATTAACGGTGAGTTCAATTTTATGTATGACGTCTCAATTACAGAAATACAAAATTCATACTGCCATTGGTTTCTCAACATTATATTGACAAGGAACCACGCATGACGTTATCGTATCCATCTTGGAATTGTGACCTCATGCTATCCGCAATGTGGAATTGGCGAAGTTTAGGTTTTTTTTTTTGCAAAGAGCGTCTCCCCAAAGAACAACAAGATATACTATTCAAAAAAAGTAGGGGATATTTGATTTTTAAGTGTTATTAAAGTCACCTAATGAAACTGACGAAGAAACAAATGACAAAATGAAATGAAGTTCACATTCATCGATTTATTCCAAATGATCGTTAGACTAAGTAAGGCACAGACTGACCATTATAAGGGTAAAATGATACCCGGGGTCAAACAGCAAAGTTACCACAGCATCACAACCAAGTCAGTAACGGGTAAATCCTCCTCTGTTTGCCAAACAAGCATTGATCCGACGTGGCATACTCCTAATGAGACGTCTAAGGTCATTTTGGTCCAGATTGTCCCATTCCTGTTGCAACGCAGCAGCAAGTTCTTGGACATTGGCAGGACGTTGTTGACGTTGACGTAACCTCTGTCCAAGCAATGTAATGTGGTGATGTTCTGTTGTTGGAGGTAACCTGTAACGATCCTGGCCCTGTGACATCTTGCGTTGTCATCCTGGAAGATGAAACGGCGGCCATGACGTCGTGCGAACGGCACAACATGGACTGCCAAGATGTTGTCCCGGTAGTACTGGCCTGTAACACGCCCTGCAACAACATGTAAAGCCGTTCTTCCAGCAACAGTGATGCCTCCCCACACCATAACAGAACCACCCCCAAATCGTCTTGGAAGCGCTCGTTTCGACGACGCCACACCCTCCTACGTCTGTCCAAAAAATCAACAGTGAACCTTGACTCATCTGAAAACATCACATTGCTCCAGCGTCGATTATCCCAGTGTTGACGATCCCTACACCAACGACGTCTTGCCTGAATGTGATGATCTCTCAAACAAGGGATCACGCGAGGACGTCGGGCGCGAAGGTGACCCCTATGCAGTCGATTCCGAATCGTCTGGTCACTAACTCTCACACCAGTGTCTGTTTGAAGACGAGCGCTGATCTGATTTGCTGTGATGACACGATATCTCAAGGCCAAGGTACGGATAAATCGATCCTGGGCTTGAGTTGTCGACCTGAGCGTGGTCTGTCCTGTACAGATTGTGTATCACGGTATCTGGACCATAGCCTGCTTATGACAGACTGAGAAACATTCATCGTCCGCGCCACAACCGCCTGTGTTGTGCCGATCTGTAGCATGCCAAGGGCACGTAACCTTTCATTTTGGGTAAGCCGACGCATATCAAAATTTGTTTTCTGGTCACTGTAACATTCAAAGTCAGAGTCGTGCAAATCTTGGGTTGGACCCCCATGATGATCCCAAGCATCACCTGCATTCCATGCGGTAGCTATTGGTGCGGTTGGGCGTCACATGTAACTGGAAATGTTTCTTCTGTTAGGTTCTATAGTGACTTTTTTCGTAGTCATTTGCATATTTTAGTATTATGCCCCCAAAATCAAATATCCCCTACTTTTTTTGAATAGTATATGTAGAACTTTTTCCTGACAACTACATCTGTATATTGCAGGTCTTTTGTGGCTTGGGATGTAAAAATAAACTATTATGTAGACATGTATCACATGACAAGCGGCTTAGCCCATTATCAACTCTCTAGACAATCAGGTGGTAGAGATTTAAACAAGATAGCTATTAACTGATTTAATTTATAAAAAGGTGAATCAAGACTGAGTCTCGATTAACATGTACCGTTGCTAGGATAATAAACAATCTATGCCGCATCTTGTCAAAACTTCAAACAGTGATAATTTCGCCACGAATAAAGTAATTTAAATGAATTTTTAAACATTCATTTTGCATTATCTATTTTAGAACTAATATAGCAAGAATGGACAGCTTTTTATCTAAACCTTATATAATGCATCTCTGGGTAACAATTTTTAAATTTTGTTACAGATTGGTGGTTTGTACCTGACATATTTCTTTCTGTTGCTACAGTTTAAAATCAGTTAGTTGGTGAAGAAGACAGCCGATGAAGAAGACATATAAAGCCGCCAAATGACTATTAAGAACTGAAAAAAAATCCGCGATATAGCACAGAACGTGGGGAAAGAGTGTATTGTGTCAATTGAAATGTAATTTAATTTACAATGGGTTTAAATCCAGGGTAGCGCCTGTGGCTGAACGGAATTGTGTTTGTCGGGATGGGCACATTTTCAATATTATGTGTTAAAATGTGGAAGATTGTCAAATTAACTGTACTTTGTTGAGTTTCTTTTCAAATTTTAGGGCACAGCTATATTATGTCCAATAGGTCGCGGATTCGCAAACGGTGTTGGCCGAGAAAGTTCTTTTTCTTTTAAAAAAAATATTGTCTATACATGTATTTCATTTCTCAGAAATAACCAAATAAAAGTCATTTTCTTCTCAAAAATTCGTTTATCTTCACTACCACGCGCTCTTGGCAGGCATGTTTCTCCTGAACTTTGGGATAATAGTGCAAAACATACCTCACAATAAATGATTTCCGCCGTGGCTCCAGTTTCAACTTGTTGCATCTACCCCCGCAAGTTGTCCGGTCCGGTGAGTTCAGGAAAAAGTCGTTGCACTACTTTGGTAGCAAAATGGCCGGCATTAAATACGTGAAGGTGCATAGATTTAAGATCCTGAGCAGAAATGCGAAATTCCGGTGGAATATCACTGAAATGTGATGTGGCAGTGTCAGTGGTTGGCAGCGTCGGAGTGTGGCGGACCGGGGACTAGGTATTGGTATCTGTTGGTCTTGTCCCTCACCATGAGGGGGGAGTCTCTGTAATACTAACAATACCAGTTTGTTCATCTCTTTAACTTCTTGTCGTAGCCCTTTAAATTCTTGTTGTAGCTCATGCTGTTTTTTATTTATTGTCTGCATAAATCTCTCTACTGCCGAAAGCGTTTTCTGTCGATGCCGATTTGGTGTTTTAAAAAGCGGCCTACACGTAATTTCCCCATCTGGTAAATCGGGCATCGACTGCAGGAGGGATTGTTCCTCAGAAGTGGAGGGCGATTCCACGCCGTGGGGTTCCGGTACACGTACCGCCACTGGTATTCTCGATGTCTGGGAGACGGAATCTGGTGTTAAACGAGTTGAACACGAGCTTGATGATATACTGGAAATTGACAGCTCACATGGGTCATTTGAACATAAACTTCCTAGCGTCGTTCGGCGGATAACTGGAGAGGTCATTTTCTGAAATTACAAGAGAATAGAATACATTTATTTTAGTTCTGACCCCAGCCATTTTAATATATTTATTAATTTCGTTGTCACACCCTGGAATAGACACTGTAGGCTAAATGGACATGTCACTTGTTAATTAGACTGAAACCATTTGAATATATAAATATGATATATATAAATATGATGACACTTGTGTGCATGTGTATTGTCCTAATCGCTTTCTCCATAAAACCCAAGAAACCAGTAGTTCAGTTCATCTCCTATGTCTTGTCTTGCGATATCACTTCCGTGGAAGCAGACGTTAAAGCACCATGATACTACTACTAGCCCAGTTCATAAAAATGCCTGCTACTCGTATACCACACTTGGATGATTTAAAAATTGTTGAGCTCCACAAGAAAGACTGGAAGTGTTCTGCTATACATAGATACCTTAACCAATCTAATGTGAATGTGTCTTTGTCTCGGCTTAAATATACGGTAACCGCATATATTGAAGGACGATTTGACAACAAGGGCGTATTGACCGAAATAACCCATCATTTCAACAACTTGTGTTCAGATGACATTGTTCTCATTGATAGCGAATTTCAACAGAACCCAGCGCAGTCTGCCAGGGATATCCAGAAAACACTTTCAGCACATGGCACAAACACCTCAATTAACAGTCAGGCGCGCCATTGATTTTGCCGGTTTTACATCAACGAAAAGCGGGTTCAATTCTGTAGAAATTGAATCGAGACGAGTGCTCAATACAACTACACGATACTAAAACAGTTGCATATAGAAAAAAAGATCAAAGTGCACCACAACAGTGTCGCCCCAAAACACCCATACAAAGTTCACTTGTGTGTGTGTGTGTGGGGGGGGGGGGGTATTAGTCGTAAAGGAAAAAGCCAACTTCTTATATTCGATGGAATAATGGACAGTATTTTCTATACGGAGGAAATTTAAAAAAAAAGTTACTGCCATATATTCGATGGAATAATGGACAGTATTTTCTATACGGAGGAAATTTAAAAAAAAACAAAGTTACTGCCATTCATTAAAGACAGATTTCAAGGTGGAGATCGTTTTCAACAGGATAATGACCCAAAACATACTTCCTGATTTGCAAAAACTTTTATGGAGGACAATGACATTAACTAGTGGTGCACTCCCCCCGAAAGCCCAGACTTAAATCCTATCGAAATGGTGTGGAACATGTTAAAGCGACACGTGTCCAAAAAGATTCCCACCACTAAAGAAGAACTGTGTAACAACTGTCAAGACTTTTGGGGCAATGTACTTACGCGTGACATATGCAATCGCTTCATTGACCACATGTACAAGGTTGTTCGGTTGTTGTGGCGGTGGGTGGGAAAGCCACGACTGATATGCCTAAAAGACTTTTTAGGTCCGAGCGTTCCTTCGGAAAGGACATTAATCATTTTAATCAAAAACTCCTAAACGACCCTATAGTCAGATAACGATTACAATAAAATTATTAAATTGTTGTCTATTTTTGTTATGTTTTTTTGTTTTTGTTTTTTTTTATGAAAACCTCGCTTCAAGCAATTAACAATAAACAGCTTGAACACCCATTAGTAGCAGATGTTTATCGTCTGCTACTATCACACGAGTTGAGCAGCAAAGCCGTTGTCTTTTGCTGGCTCCCCAGTCACGTTGATATAAGGGGGAATGATCAAGCAGATTTTGCTGCCAAAGCTGCTTTAGATCTTCCCCAATCACCCTTTTAAATCATGTATAAATTATTTTATTTATGACCGCTGGCAACGGTCTTGGGATCTTGCAGGCACAAATAAACTTCATCACATTAAGCCTCTCCTAAGAGATTGGCCCAACTCCTATAGAACCAACAGGAGGGATGAAGTTGTTTTGTGTCGCTCTCGCATTGGTCATACCTTTTTAACTCATATTTTCATTTTGAAGCGAGAGCCTCAACCGGAATGTGTTCACTGTCATGTTCCTTTGACAGTAAAACACATCTTGATTGAGTGCAAACATCTCAAGTATATTAGATCTAAATATTACCGTTGTCAGTCATTACGTCAGCTATTTGCTCAACCGGAGCTATATGATCAAGTGTTAACATTTTTAAAAGAGACAAACTTTTATTTTCAATTTTAATTGTATATATTTAATCATGTATATCGTTTTAAATTTTTATATATGTAACAGATTTGTTATATTTATTTTTAATTAATATATTTTCTGTGATATTTGTTTTTTATTTACATATATAAATTCAATTATGTGATATTGTTTTAATTTGTCTCGATAGATTCACCATATGTTTGGCGCAATATAGTCCGGTTGGAGCTGACGTGCCATTAAACAACATTTCATTTCTCTGATTCTAATTACTCCAATTAATGTTATATAAAACAAACGCTAATACTTCTCAACCACCAAGCTAACAAAGCCTTAAACGTTGTCACAACGTTGGCTGAACGTAGTTGTGTTTGTTGGGATGGTTAGATTTTCAATATTACATGTTAAAATGTGGAAGAAAGTCAAATTATATGTACTTTGTTGAGTTTCTTTTCAAATTTTAGGGCACAGCTATATTATGTCCAATATGTCGCGGGTTCGCTCCCGGTGTTGGTCGAGAAAGTTCATCGGGGGGTTTCCGGCGTGATTTCCCCTTTTCAGTGGTGCAGGACAAAGATCCTGACAAGCACAGTTGTCTAGTCTTCGGATGGGACAAAAATTGGCCCCGTGTACACATTGACGTGCACGTAAAATATCCCTTGGCAGTTGGAATCCGATATAAGAGTACGCTTTGAGTTCGCTGTTCGGGCAAAGTTTCCCTCATAGCACATGTCCGTCTTCATTAGCCCCATTTCAGTTTTATATTATTTGGAGCCGTGACACAAGATCATACCCCACAATGTGATCGGCGTAATGTAATACTAGTAGAATTTGGGTCTCTGTTTCCAAGCATTTCGGCGAAAATGTAATACTAAAGGGCCTATGTACTGTAGAGTTTATTTAAGTTCACCATAAAAGATGCTCTCGTTAATGTTTTGAAGTTGTTAGTTAGTACCAGTGACAACAAGAGCTAGGCTAACAAGGATATGTCTGGTAGATAAAAACCAGGCAATGACATCATAGTCTGATAATCCAAATATGGTAATCCCATGCTTTAGACACACGTGCAACTGTCCCTCCACCCCCCTGTGCCCATGTTAGTACAATGGGTTTAAATCCAGGGTAGCGTCTGTGCAGCTGACCAATCCGATAAAGGAAGTACCTGGTCAATTTCCCCCGGGCTCAATACATGACTCATGCAAGTGTCCTTTTTATATAAGAAGAGCTGGGTTAACTTTCCATTCAGACATCATTCGGAGTTCAGGAGCACAGCATACCCACAGCCTCTGGTTCGAGGTCGGAATGAAATGAAATGTGGTTTTATGCCACGTCAGCACCAACCGGGCTATATTGCGCCAAACATATGATGAGTTATACGAGACAAACTAAATAATAATCACAATAGTAATCTATATATACATAAATAAAAACAAATATCACAGAGATTATCAATTAAAAACAACTATCACAACACTGTATGTATATATATATATATATATATATAATTAAAATTTTGTGTAAAAATTGTCTCTTTTAAAGTCTAGTAATCTACAATATAGACCCGGTTGGGCAAATAATTGCTACAAGGACTGACAGTGTTCACATTCTGGTTGAGGCTCTCGCTTTAAGATGAAAATATGCGAGAACGACACAGGGCAACTTCATCCCTCCTGTTGGTTCTATAGGAGCTTGGCCAGTCTCCTAAGAGAGGCTTAATGTGATGAAGTTTATTTGTACCTGCAAGATCCCAAGACCGTTGCCAGCGGCCATAAATGAAATGATTTATACAAGTTTTAAAATATGTATATGGTATATTAAAATATTTGATAGGGGAAGATCTATAGCAGCTTTGACAGCTAAATCTGCTTGATCATTCCCCCTTATATCTACGTGACTGGGGAGCCAGCAGAAGACGACGTCTTTGCTGTTGAACTCGTAAGATAGTAGCAGACGATAAACATCTGCTATTAATGGGTGTTCAATAGTTATATACCTTGTTTTCAATGTGTATGGGTTGATACACCGTCTCTTTTTTGAGTGGGGCTCCGGGGAGATATCCACTCAAAAAAGAGACGGTGTATCAACCCATACACCAAGAAAACAAGGTATATCTCCACTCAA